AGGTGGCTTCTTGTTTTTGTGGTGGTTTAGTCTGCAGTTTGGTTAGCCCATAGAAAAAGCCAAATTTCTTGTGCAGAAAAATATCACTCCTTCAGTTATGCTGAAGCTATTGAGAAAACTTGCCTTTGGGTGGATTTTTTCTTCCTGAAAGTGATAAGCTTTGTCAAGAAGGGAGGAGAGCAAGCTGTAATGGAAGTGATCTCTTGGCTAAGTGCAGTAGGAATGTTAAACTCATGTGAATCTGTATCTTGAGACACATGGGCTGTTCTCCCTATATTCACTCTTCTAGAAAATGGGGAGAATGTTTGTGGAAAGGCTAAATGCACCAGCACATTCGTTCTGGTTGTGTTCAGAGCTATGACCAAGTGTTTGTTTCACAATTATACTGCATGCCATTCATTTCAAACAGAAATATTTGTCCAAAATTGATTCCCAACTGTTTGACAAGCATCAGACAAACCCAGTAATTAGGTCTGTGAATTGAAATGTCTGATGGCATATTGCCTTCTAACCATATTAGAGAAGTTAGGCTAAGAGCCATTTTTTTGTCTTAGCATAATGAGGATGAATCAAGCTTTTGCAGTTTAGATTTAACAATGCAGACAAAATTCTTTCCTCTGTCTCCCCAAATACTTCTGTAGTGAAGCCTAATGGCTGTGGACACGCTATTCAACTGTGGGCTGTGCTGCAGTAAAAGTCCAGACCAGGAGCTGGATTGCTGTGAAATTGTCTCAGCACAGAGTTGGAACCCAGATATCCTCAGCTGCAGCATGTATGTAGTAATGAGGGATGTGTTTTCTCTGGCCTTTTATTCTTTCAAGTGCCTGATATTACCACAAGTGTTATTAGAAGCCACATGTTCCAAAACAGTGGTCCCAGCCTGTTAAATTATGCAAGGCAGCCTATTACTAATACATTTGCCTTATTGCTATAGCTTGTCAGAGATCTTGAAATCTGAGCTGTGACAAAGTTGATTAATTTCTAGGTGTTACCTTTTGTTGTTCAAGTGACTAAACATGATGAATCAATACAAAAAGTGAGATGTTTTAGCCAATATTTTATTGTCAGCATTTCAGCAAACATACTGAAATAAACTTAACTCAGAATTGAGGACTATACTGCATTGTATTTCACTATCCAGTTGACATTTATAGAAAAGAGAGGACCTAAAAAGTAGAAAAGGGCAAATACAGATTATATTTCATTTACTGAAAAACAGTGATTTATATACATGACTTAAACTAAAATGAAAAGTTGATTTAAAAGTTCAGTAATTTCCATCTTCATACCCTGGGAAAAGAAGGCTGAGAAGGTAAGTGAATATAATCAATCAGAGCAGCCTGTAGTTACGATAAAGTGTATCAAATATTCATTGTTACAAAGTTGGTTAGTGTACTTTCTGGTATTTTAAACAAGTAAATAATACTTAGCTCTTAAGTTTTCATATAAATATTTAAGCTGTTGTCATGTATAATCAATATTTTCAATATGCTGTAACTGTTGATGTAAGCCTGTCTTGAGAACCCAAAGTAAGGTAATGTACTTCAGCTTTTATCAGCTCCATCTTCCTCATTTGTTTTACAACATTTGTAGAGCGAGCAGCAGTAGGAATGTGAGAGGAATTGCAAGTATCTGCAAGAAAGCAAGACTGGAGAGGAGTAGGAGGAGATGAAAAACTTGGAATATTTTTTAAAACTCTTAGCTTAACAACGTCTTTCCAGGCTGTCCTCTGTATGGACACAGGCAGACTGCTGTGCACACAGGGAGGGACTGTCACAGAGCAGCCCTTCCAAGGGCTGAGAAGGATACCCATGAGCAGGACATTTGTATCTGAGGTCTCTCGATTGGAAGTTGTCCTTTGCATGGAGCAGATTTCCGTGGTTGTTGAGAGGAGCTGTTCGAAGCACTGGGCAGAGAAGTCCCAGCCAATTAGCAACTTAGGGAAAAGAGCTATTTTGATTCTCAAGAAATGGGATAAACTATCAATGTCTAATCAAGCACCAGGGCCACAGTAGTTTTGAAAATACTTAAATGGGACCTAATTCCTATTAAGGAGAATGAAGGATTGGATTTATTATTGTCTCATGGAAAGCACCTTTGGACTTAACCCTTTGGTTTCATTAACAGACAGCTAGGAATTTTTTGTCCATCTATATTCCTCATTTTGGAAGTCACTGTGTGTACAGGGAACAAATGGCCCTATTCACTGTGACCAACGTGCCCAGGGAACATTGTGCCAGCAGCAGCTCAGAGCACTGTGTGAGGGGAAGCCTTTGGAGAGGTGTCACTGCCTTTGGGACTGGTCCTTGGCCACACCTGGAGTGCTTCATCCCTGCTTGGAGTTTGGTTCCCTCCTGCTGTCTTTGGGCCAATGTGAGGAGGTGCTTTTCTTGTGCTCTCATTTGTGCAGCTCTCAAGGACTACATTCACTTACATATAAATAGAAAACACTTCCGTAGCCTTCTAGTTAATGCCCAAGGGCAATGCATCCTGCTGTACTTCAATTTACAAGGATTAGCAAAAAGGTGCCTAAGATCTCTTCCTCCCTGAGCAACTTTCTGTTTTGTACAAGTGGTGTGGTACAGGTCATGTGCTCTATTTTAAGAAAGAGTTTCATCTTCCAAAGAAAAATAGCTTAAAAACTAGTTAGCTATACGCAGTATTTACAATAGATTTTAATAAAAGTCTGAGTATTTGTTTTTAAATGAACAAATAAGCACACATTTATATAGTCCATTAATTCTGGATGTCCTTAGGACATTATTAAAGTGATCTGTCTCTCCAAATGCACTGGAAGACTTTGATTAGTTAGCAGCAATATTAACAGTATCTCTCTAACGTGTTTTTATGTATTAGAGAAGACATAAGCATGAAGAAAATTTAGAGGCAAACTTAAAAAGTGTGCTTTCACTGCTGAAATAAAGCCTCCAGAAAGATTTATACTTTATAGCTCACTGCGTATGCACTGGGAGAAGCTACTTTTGTGGCACAAATACTCTTCTTTGTTGCTTACCAATACCCGTATTCAGTGGCACAATGAACAACTGTTGTAAAAAATATTAGTATGCAGATGCTCTGGTGTTTTGTTAATGCATTTAATTAAATACAATAACTCTTTTGTTTGAGTTTCTTCTTCTGTCCTTGAATGGATTTGTATTATGGTATAGAACCTAGGCTTATAGTTGCTATTTAAAATGTTCTGCTGTTTCAGAATGTGTCACACATCCAAGTTAGTTACTTTTCTTTTGTTATATTAAGAAAATAATTTGAGTATGTTATTAGTTTCTTATAAGTTTCAGAGCATCTTTTCAGGAAAACACAAATTCTAAAGTTGCCAGCAAATATTCTCACCACTCATGAGGTCTTCAGTGACAGTTAGGCACTGGTTAAATAATTGTATTCCTGAGAGACTTTCAGATGTTTTAACCTAATAAATTTTTCTTGAAGTTCCCCACAATTTTCTAGCTAGTTTTCACAAAAGAAATCAAAAAATTGCACAGCAAGACTGCACTTTATGTTTCTATATGAAAAACTGTAGCAGGCTGATTACACCCAATTGTAACCTACACACATGTTTTGCAGAAGCCATCATTACTGTCTTGTGTTGTTATCCATACAATTATTTCAGAATTATTCTCAGCCTGAGAAAAGGTTTCTTTAGTGCCCTGTGGGTGGGTGAAACCATACGAAATGACTGTATCAAGTCTAAAATTGCCCTGCTGAATCAGCAAAGTACTTGAGCCCAGAGTACTTTAAAAACAAAGCAGTATTTGCCAGATCCTATGCCTCCCATGGCAGCAAAGACAAAATCAAATGAGGATGTAAAAAGGTAATTAGGAGACCCTAAAGGCAACACATGACTAACTTATTTCTGAATTTCTGAGCTCCACTAATTCCAAAAGACATTTCTGACAGAGTGTGTGGGAGGTGTCTGTGCTGAAGGTTGCTTCTCAGGCAATGACCTACTAGTACTCATTTGGTGTTCCTTGGAGATAAGTCATATTCTTCAGTGGGTGCAGTTTCCTTTAGAACAGTAGGAGTCATGGCATAGACCATAAAAACCTCCATAAATCTTTTTGTCACCAATAGAAGGAGCTACTGCAGGAGAAGGAAGGGCTAAGTGTGCTGCAGCTGGTGCTTCTCAGATGCTTTTATGGGTGCATCAGAACACAACTGTGGAGAAGGCAGCAGGCATTTCACTTACCACAGGGGTCTGTCTTGGTTCCTTTCTTGGCTAAAATAAAAAGCTTGCCAGTTGCTGGTAATTCTTTTTGTCACTTCTCACAAGCACTAAATGTAAATCGGACAGTTTTGCTTTAGGCCTTCAGCATCTGTTCTAGAACACTGTACCAGGATCATCATGGGCAAAAACTGTCATGAGAAGCTAAGCAGAAATTGCAGTTTAGTGCTCTCTTTTTTGAAATTAGGACAATTTCAATAGTGGGGCAAAAATCCCCTTCCTCTCATTGTGCATGTTTGATCCATATTGAAGTTACAGCGAGGAATTCCAAATGAGGCCATGAGCTCTGACATTGTGCAGAGGGAACGTGCACTTGTGAAGGCACAGATCTGCAATGTCACTGTAATTATTTAATTTTTTCTGTTTTGGAGAAAGATGGCATAATGGGAGTTGCAGTCCTCAAGGGAAAGTCCAGGAATTCTGATTACTCACCGAAAGCCTCCTCATCCACAAGCCTTCCATGTAAATAAAGTTCGTTTCAGTTATGCTTCGAGTAATCTATCGATTATGTGTTTAAAAAAAACAAACACCAAAAAATCACCTATAACTACTGCAAAATTGTGTGAGAACATCATTCTGGTTTCAGTTCCAAGATAACTTAATGTTCTTTAAGGCTGGAAGAGAACATAGTTTCATTCCAACTGCACATATTACGGGTTTTTTATGAAATGAGCATCTCAAGGCACGGGAAAGAAAGCACCATTGTTCCAGGGCTGTTTTTCACAGGCCTGTATTCATATCTCATCCTTGTTGTTTGCAGGAGAGGCAGATGTGAACCAGAACAATGGGACGTCCACGAAGAGCCCAGCGGTGACAGACCCCAAAGGCACAGCGGACCCGAAGAATGCCTGGCCCGAGGCCAGCCCAGCTGACAGGACTGGTCGCCCCCACTTGATCCGCCTCTTTTCCCGAGATGCCCCAGGAAGAGAAGACAACACCTTCAAAGACCGGCCCTCGGAGTCAGACGAGCTACAGACCATCCAAGAGGACAGTGCAGCAGCTTTAGAGAATTCGGATTTGATGGCTTCACAAAAACGCTCCTCTTTCCGGCACGGATCAAAACTGGCATCTGCGAGCACTATAGACCATGCCAGACATGGATCCCCACGGCACAGAGACTCGGGGCTACTTGACTCGCTGGGCAGATTCTTTGGAGGTGAAAGACACGTTCCCCGGCGGGGCTCGGGCAAGGTGAGCTCTGAGGAGTAGAGAACTGCAAGGCTACAGCAGAATACAGTACAATTAAAGAGGAAGGGTGGGTCTGAAAGAAAGGTCTCACTGCTATAAGGCAAGAGTTGAGCTAGCCAGCGGGATGGTACTTGTAATATAATGCCTGGCTTTAAACTGAAAACAGCAACAACAACAAAACAAAACAAAGAAAAAAAAAAAGCAAATATCTGGGAAACAAGAGGAGCTGCTCTGGGCAGTAACAAGGAGTATTAGAAACCGGGGGCTCTAGAAACATTACTGGGAGGAATTTTTATGAGCATTTAACGTGGTGTGTTGTATGCATTTCTATGCTGTGCCATTTAGAGAAACTTCAGTCTGCTTTTGTGTGTTGTTCTTAAATATTTGCAAAAGGGAGCTGGACGAGAGCACTAAATACAAGGCAATCTCTACATCTCTTGGCGCTAAGTGAAAGAAAAACTTGGAAATAGATGTTAGAAAAGGAATTGTGGCCAAATTCCCAGCCTGCTTGAGCAAGAGTATGTTTAAGGTCAGTTGACAGCATTGCCAGGGAGATGGCTTGACAGATACTATTCTGAATCCCAGGTGTACAAAATAATCGAGCTGCTATATTCTGACAGGAAGTTGAGATTTATTCCAAGCATTTCATATTAGAAATTGTATAACAAGTTATTTCTACACTATGAATTCAAAACCAAGGCATTGAGGAAAGGCTGTTAATTAAATTCTTCCCTTCTCCAGGACATCTGCCTCCTCTGATAAATTATGCAGCTGGCATATTAGTTCACTGTTATTCAAGTGGCAAAGTTTAAGATGTTTTCTCTGTATCTTTTGCTGTGTAAATGATAAGTGGAATCTTGTGTTTGTGTGTCCACACACTGCATAAGCATCCGAATGGAACTGCTGTAGGGCTGTAGAACCTTTCTTCTACCTGAATTTGTTGTAGTTGCTCAAGTTGTGTGTTGCAAAAAGCAGTGTTTGTAGTTGCTGGCTGGACCCAAATTTTTGAAAATCCTTTGACAAACTCTGAGGTCTGTTCAGTGTTCCAGCCTGTGATCTGTGCTGCACTGGGAAAGGACACAAACTGCCCTGTGGTGTAAAACTGAGCTGTGGTGGTCCCACAGCTGTGGCTGGCAGTGTCCTTCACAGCTCCACACCTGGAAGCACAATGTATAATAGCCCTTTAGAGACCACTGGACAAAAGATACTCTAGAAACCTTAAAACCAGAAGCTCCTCACACTTGGTGGGCAGTACTAAGCAAGCTGGGTGTGTTTTGTTCTTATTTCTCACCTTTACCAATTGGGGCCTGTAATGCTATTGACAAAGACTTAGCAGCCAGGCAGTTTTTTCTGTAGAAATGTTGCTGTGTGTAATGTTGCTGTGTGTAATGTTCATAAATGCAACAAGCAGTTGCTGTGAGCATGAAGAAAACCTTCTTTCTTACTGTTACTGCACATAACAGAGACTGTTCCCAGCTGCTATTTTCTGGAACCTGGTTGGCCAGCTCAACTCTTGCTGTTTTGTTCATGTACTGTGTTATTTGATGAAAAATAGTGTATGAAATGTTCTTTGTACACCACGGAGACAATACCAAAAAGTTAGATTCTGCATACAGAATACACAGAGGTGTGTGCATTCCTGCTTGGCAATAAATCAAACCAATTAACTCAGTTTTTAGGAGTAATGAACTAAAAAATGTCTGCAAGATGTACAAATTCTGTATTTTATTCTCTGGTGTGAACATGATTGCAATGATTCTCTATAGATTTTGATGTAATTATGTACGAGAGGACAGGAGATCATCTCCTTTATCTCTGCTGTAAAATGCTATTTTGAAGAACTTAAATGTCTGCAAAACAGAAAAGAATTATGGACAATTCTGACTTTCTTTACCTAGCAGAAGTAGTCGTTTGGGATTATTTCCCCTTAAGAATGACTACTCATAGTGTTAGGGAGTCCTGATTTGCAGATCTGAGCTGGAAGCACAGAGAAGTTGAATAATTTTGGCAAAAGTCAGTCACTTCAGGACTTCCAGTGCCAAAGCATCTCTAGCACTCTTCCACACAACAATAATATTGATGTACGTCCTAGGAAACATTCCTAGGGAGCTCTCTTGTGGGAAGGCTTCAGTGCAGAAAGTATTGAGCAAGTGGCGCAGACAGTCATTTCAACTCTTATTTATTTAGCCTCTGAAACAATACCTTTTGGCTTCTTGTATCAAGAAAGGCTTGTGGTGTCATTTATTTATACAAGTGTAGACAGAGGAAATCTAGATGGCTCATTTGTGCTTAAACCCTAAATAGTTTTTGCTGATTGTAGAATTTTGTAGAGGATCATAGATAGATGATGAAGGTGTTCATGGACCAGCTGAAATAGAATGAAGTCCCTTGGCAATTTTCCAGACTCCACTAAGTAAACAGGTCTTTGGAAAATAAGAAACTACTAAAAGCACCTTAAAGGATGAATTTCAAAGGCTTGAAAAGTTCCTAGAGCTGCACTGTTTATTTGCTTGCACTTTTTTATTTATTTTGAAGCATTTCAAAGCAATTCTGCAGCTGCCTTTCTTGCAGTCTTCCTTTTTCAGCCAGCCCATGCCTCAGTGGGAGCATCTCAACTACCCACACCAGCAAGCACTGGAATGCAAAGACAACACTTGCTCTTTGTACAGATTTAGGGGCTGACATTCAAGCAAAACACATTACAAATTCTTTGTGGAGGCATTTTCTTCTTTCATCCACAGCTAAGAAATACATTAATGAATAATATTCACTATTGTGTCCAGAAAGGTGGGGTAGGAACAATGCTGGGACTGTTTCATGGCCTCCTTTTCTCATGTGGAGCAGGTTCTTCCTTGCCCTGCAATTCTGAAGTTAAATTTAAGAGTGCAGGGGAGTTCCATGGGAGGTGTTAAAAATAGAAATACTGGAATGTACAGAAATACTCCTTTTCCTCCAAGGGAGAGCAAGTGCATTTGCCATTTTTCCCCCAGTCCCACTGAGATTTTGGATAGCTGAAATTCAATCAAAACCAGCTTGAATTTTGTACTTTTAAGAAAAACTTTTAAGGTAGAATATTTGAAATAAAACTGTTGTGCACAGCTCAAATTTAATCGTATTAAAACAGAATTTAAAATGGTGACAAAAAGAAACTGTGGTGCAGACATTTTAAATAGCATGCAAGAAAGAGTAGCATAATGATAAATTATTTCCTTTCTAATCTTTACAGAATATTTGTCTAAGCAAGTTTGTTAAAACAATCAAATGTTCTTTGTGCCTCCTAGATTCTGAGCCTGTATTCAACTTCAGTATGTACTGACTGCCATTTTGTTCCTTTGATGCAGTTGTTTATGCTTTTGTAATTCTTTTGTTTATGATTTTTTTTTCCTACTAAAGTTTAGATTGTGAAACAAGAACTTTTCTGTCCCGGATTAACATTTTGCATTAACGTACTAAACTTTAAACTACACTTGTGACACAGATGAAACAAACCAAAATATGTGACAGTAAACAATAGGTGAGGCAAGTCTTAGTGGAAGATTAAATCAATTTGTCTTTTACATTTTGCTTCGGTTTTGTATGCAATCTTGTAAGAATCTCCTGTTGCCTGAATGAAGCCCTGCTCCTGTATTTCCTTCCCAATTTCTTTGTGTTCGGGTGCAGGAACCAGGGAAGGTAGCGATGGGCTTCCCATGGTACAGACAGGTACGAGGCAGGAGCAGCACGGGGCTGAAGTTCCTCTCAGCCTGAGCAGAACCAGAGGCTGGGATCAGCATTTCCGAATCTGCATTTCCAAACCCGCTCCTGAGCTAAGCAGCTGCTAGAGTGGGGATCTACAAAAATGGTTAGGTTAAAAGTTTAGGAAGTGCAGTTTTAAATAATGTCGTCGAGGGATAAATTAATCAGAATCTTTTTTTCTTTTTTTTTGCACCTGAACTCTATTCACATTTCCTGTGGAAGCTTTAATGTATACTACAGCACCATGAAGAATTTGAAAAGTAGTTAAATCAGTGCTAGTCTGAGTAGTATGTGATGTGATTTAAGTAATTACTTACTATGATTTTAATTTCCAAGTCTTAGTTTTCAGGGAGTGGTATTGCTTGTGTACACTGTTTTGTAAAACCTGCTGTGCAAGCAGTATGCTTGTAAAATATTTTTATAGAGTTTATGGTGGTTGTAACAATAATTTTGTTTTAATCTTTTGCTTTTCATGTGCTTTATGTATTCATTAAACTGTTTACATCACAAAAACCAGTGTACTAATGATTTAATTTGTTTTAAATGCTTTAATCCATTAACAGAAGTTGCAACAAACTACTACTTGTATGTGACAGGTTTTTAGTTCACTAAGAGGCTCCCTGTCCTTCTGCAAAATTCAGTTAGAACAGGGCATTGGACAGAAAGGAATAGAGAGGTTTCCTTCTGGAAGGAAAGGGTAGGCTTTGAATAACCAAAGCTCCTGAATCTGATGTTCTCAGTGATAATGGGAACTGAATCTGGCCTCTCGTTTGTAGCAGGTATTAATGAATGATGAATACCTAAAAATGAATTAATGTAACAGATCTGCCAGTCTGAAGTTCATTTAGCTTATCCAGTGGTAAAACCTCAGAGTACTTTAGATCTGCCTGGTTTAAAAAATATCACCTGTACAAAACAAGGGAATACCAACTGGTGAGTACACACACCACGTGAGAAGTCAAAGGCATGGGAGCCAACATTATGTGGCATTGATTCTGAGGTATTCATTTAACACATGTATGACCATAAGCATGTTATTTATGCCTAATAATTAACACATTGTTTAATGCACTGGAACTTGCATTTTCAAGGAAATTGCTGCTTGAAGTAATTATTACAAGCTGCTAGAGGAATTTGGGAATTGGACTAGGTTAAATGCTCTTTAAATGGTACTTTGAAGTGCAAGCACTAAATTTTTGTAAAGTATTAATGATGCTTTGTGTTCACCTGACATCAGCTGCATGGTAAGATTTGTTCAGAAATGGGACAAAGTATTTGGGGCTTGCTGATTTGTATTACAAGTTAAAGAGGAGATCATGACTGGGGAGAATGCGTGTATGCTTCGCTGCTTTTACTGTTTTTTTATATGGTCTTGTGCCTATTGCATTCCGAAATGTATTAGTAACAGGTTCAGGCTAAAGTACAAATTAATCATCTGACACATTTGAAGAATCTCTGTTTCTAATCACTCCACAGCAAAAGGTTTCCCCCTTTCATTAAATTCTAACAGTATCTTTCAGTTCAGTCTTTGCTTGACTAACAGGATCTTTCAGTTCAGTTGTCTTTGCTTGACTGTTTCTAGAGTCTTCTATTCACTAATATGATATAATAATAACAGTAGTATGTGTAATTTGCATGCAGAGGAGCATGTTGAGTTCTACAGAAGAGCTCCAAGAGTTCTTCTGAGCACACTTGGTGAAGTTCAAAGCTTGTGGTGCCCTTTGCCTGGGCCTGAGACTGATGGCAGAGCTGCTGGAGGGGCAGTGATGGGAGGGGCAGTGATGGCAGCTTTGGGATCTTTTGGTGGGAACTGGCCTCGGCTGCTCTAAGCCATTCCTCTTGTTCACCTGCATGGCCCCACAACCCAGCTGAGAGAGAAAGGTCTGGATTTCATTTTAAAACCATGTATCAGAGGGAGGTGTTTGTTTAAAGTGCGAGGGCCAGGGAGGGACCCCAAAATGTACACACAGGTGGTCAAACAGGGCTATTAAAAATTTAGCACAAGGATTTTCTATTCCTGAGAACAATTTAATCTGTTAACTTCTCTGCAGATGAACCTGTTTGATAAGAAATTGCTTTATACTAAAATCTGATATATTGTTTTTTTCTATCACATTCCTTACAATTGAAGAACTACATTATCCTTAGCACTTTCCATCCTAAAATGCCAAAATAAATGACTGTACTTTAGCTGTTTTCAGATTACACAATGGTAAATGCTGCCAGATAGAAGATCAGAGCAAAAGTTACTACTTTTTTTCCCCTGACCTAGTTTTATACCTCTGTCATCACACAGCATTAGTGGCAATGGCTAGCTTCCACCTTTTGTACTGATGGAAAATATCTCACCATGTTCCTGAAATGGTCTCCAGTTAGACATGTTCAATTACACATTACACTCCAAAGTTACTTGTTTTCATTTCTGAGCTGCACAAGAAATTGTTCACTGCTATTTTCAGGTGATTTTACTGAATTTTTTACAAATAAATTTAAAACTGTTGGTAAAACACAATTACTGCTGCAGACCCAAGATGAGCCTTAGCTCTCTTTCCCCTTTTGCTTATGATGCATCTGCTTCTCCATTTCTGATACATCATACAATTAATGTGCCTTGGAATCTGTACAAGCCTCAGGTATGGAGTGCTCCATCTTCCCCACTTTATACTAATAATATTACTGAAAACTTTGCCATGATACTTCTTTCATAGAAATATACTATTAACCATGCCATGTCTAAATATTTCACAATAGTAACCTCTCCTTGCTATTACACTCTCTCTACAAGTTATGCTAAGACAAGCAATAGTGCTTTTAACAACCTGTCACTTGCTTACCTATTAAAGGCAGAAAAAAAGTAGAATTGGGTCAATCCTTCAAAGATGAGAACTGATAAAATATTTTGTGGGTGAGTCGGTGGGTGAATGCATACAATCTGAGATTTCCAGAAATCAAGGTTGTAGTAACAATTTCTTGCCAGCAGCTGGAAAGTGATAGTGTACACCTGGTATTTATAGCTTTGTTTTTCAAATAATTCCCATATTAGCTTCATGACTACATGAAAATACTAGGGAACAGGACATGTAAAAATTGTATACATTTCTGCTTTCTTAGCAAATGGCCATACCCGCAATGTTACGTTATTTTGCTGTAGAAGCACCAACAAATAGATGCATCTCCACCAAATACACGGGTGATCAGCAGAAACTGATCATAATGAATAACAGTGCAGGATGCCTTCCATGTCTTACTCATGTACAGTAAAGTCCTTAAGACTGTGAAGTTTGATGACAGCAGAAGCTACTTGGAGATGCCTACTAGCCAAAGTCTTTTTTTTTTTTTTTTTTCTGGAGTGATTATTATCAAACAAAATCCAAAACTAAACCAGTCAAGAAAACCCCCACCCAAACCATGGATCATTTCAACAAAGTTTAATCTATGTAATTGATACCAACTTGATAAAGTAACAGAACAATACTGAGTGTGCATCAAAGACTATGTCACCAAGCAGATAAAAAAAACTTCTATCATGAAGAATATTTGAATAAAATTATTCATGCTAGGCAGAAAAAATGCTTCAAAAAAGCAAGTCAGAGCACTGGGTTTTCCTCTGAAACCATTTATCAAGTGTCACAACAATGGAATAACTGGACACAGGAAAAAACCTAGACAGTATGGTGGCACTGGTCTCTCATTTGAGTCCCATCATAAACCAGAACTCTTCTGAAAAACTGCCCCATTCTTCTTTTCTCCTCAGCAATTCTTTTACCTGCTAATTTATGAACATTAATCATCAAGGCACTAAGGGGTAATAAGGTTATGGAGAAATGTGGTTCTGGATTATTGATTGGCATCGCTCTTGATCAGGGAGTGTTCTCCATTGTTTCCTTCTTCTTCCTTCTGTTTCTTACTTTTCAGTCATCTCTCGTCTTTACTGCCATGTTTCCTGTTGTTCTGCTAAGAATTCTTCCTCTGTTTGTTCATTGCCTATTTGTAGACAAAGATTGATCTCAGCACAACTCTGAAAGGCAGAATCTCCTGCCTTCTACATCCCTCTTCCTGCCAATTCTCCTCTATACCTTTGAGCGAGTAATTTAATTTCTGTCTTAACTTCCACATTAGTAAAAATTAACATTACAAGGATGTGCGGTTCATCCTTCCTAAAGTGATTTAAAAGGCCTGCTGAATTAGACAATTAACTATAATGCCATTGCCAGCATTCCCAATGCTTTTGGTAACAGATCAAGTCGTGAACAGCCTGGAACAAACACTGCCACCAAGAGCCAGCTGGTACCTGGGTTGTACGTGAACAAAGATGGAACCAACACCACCAGTACAACACAGCTCTGATTCAGCAGCACATGCTCACAGAAGTTACACTGCTCCTAGAATAAGCATGGAAAATCACATCCCACGTGGGCTGTGTATTCTGCCTGGTGAGAGCCGGAGTAGCAGCACTGGAAGGTTCTGACGAAGTGTCAGTCATGCCCAGGAACACAAAGCCCCATGGACAAAGCCCCTCCAAACCCCAAGATGAAGCAATTTCTGTATTCAAGTGCCTGTCAGGTTTCTCCTTAAATTATATCATAGATTTCCATGTTTTTAAAAGAAGAAAAAAACCCACATATATATTTGCAGAAAGGATGCATCTCAATTCCTGTTTGGCATACATATTTAGAAACCATACTGACTACCTAAGTTTGAACCTGTACAGGAATTTCATTAAAGTTTGGATTCAGAGTCCATTTCAAGGACTAAAACAAAAGCACCTGAGTGGTTTACCAATTGCCTGATGAACTTTCAGCTTTTTCTTCCCACAAAACAGCACAGTGTTCATCACATAATGCTTAAAGGGTAATTTTAGTCTACCAGTACAGTTCCAGATGTCTTTATGGGGGTGGTTATTATGGACATTATAGCATTATGGACAACCTACAGGTTGTGGAACAGATTGGTTTTCTAAGTCAATCTAAATGCAATTTTCATGTCTATGTGAATTTGAAATGTGTGGATTTTGTATTTTATCTTTTAAATTCATGCACAGCAACTCATTAGGTATCTTGTGAAGAAAAACCATTGGAAACCATGAAAACCCATTGAACCCATGAAAAAGCACTTTGCTTTCCAGCGTTACCTGGTTTGACTGCATTTCAAATCAGCTATTTCCATATTTCATATGCATGGATTTTGTCAGCAGAGAAACAACAACATGGGATGTATTTTAGATTTTTGTCTCACATCCTAAAGTAGGCAACAAAAGCACTCAATAGTGGTACCGAAAGGAACTGTAAAAAGCTGTAAATCCAAGTACTCCAAAAGTATCTTAATACTGTTATTGCCACAAATGCATATCACAGACTGATGAGGAGTTAGAGCAATTTACATGCATATGGAATCTTCAGCTATAAGCAATCCTATTGTGGAGGATGAGAGATTATAATAAGCATTTAAAAGACCTCCCCAACGCATCTGAGTTGCAAGATCTCACATATCCCATTTATAGCAAGCGAAGTCAGGGATGGATTTCTTGGGATTTCAAGACTGGGAAAAAAAAAAAAAGCCTGTAACTGCTTAACTGTAGTTTTTATCCATTTTATACCCAGGGCCAGTTGTTGTCCAACATTGAAAAACATGCATACCTTTGGGTATCTTCAGGTCAATTGGAAATGTAATAACCTTGCACTAAACCCCAAATGGAGCCCATATTGTTAGAGACATGGCAATTTTAATTTTTTTTTATTAACAGCTCTTACAAGATACTAATACAGGTTGTGCCAGTAAATGTGATTAGTCTGATGTGAAAGTACACGGCTAACACAAGGAATGCAATTCCAATGTATAGCTAATGTTGAGACTTAATAAACCTGCATGTTTTCTTTGCACTGCATTCACAGTTGCTCTCTCTCTTTTTTTTTTTTTTTTTTTGTCTTAGTGGCCAACATACCACCATACCAAGGTAGGTGACACAGTAAAACAATGCTACTTTTCTGTGCATCACCAGTAAGAACCACAAAATGTTTAAAAAGAAATCACTCTCCTTACAGGATAACTGTGGATATTTTATGTATATTTTTAAGAATTCTTATTTAGGTTATTAATCCTTAAAACTATTGATTTCACAGTGAAGTTGCAGACTATGTTTTTTGTCATCAGATCTCCCAGTTACTGCTTAAATTTCCAGTACTGGCAAATCTTTTTTATTAAAATCATTCAGCTTTAGGGTTCTTTTTGGCTCTTTTGAATGTGCAGAGACTTGACTTAGTTGAGATCCTTAACTGAGGTCAAATATTTCATTAATGTTAACTGGGAACAGGAAAAGGTGAGTATTCTTCTGTTCAGTTACTGAAGAATTATTGTATGTTTAAACTTTCTTTAAGGGCACAAACAGAGGCACCTCCATTTTAAACTTCACCAATACCCAAAGGCTCTGAATTCATGCTCACACTTGGCCAAGTACATTTCAAAATACACAAATATGGAAGCCAAGGATGCCTTTTATTGGCAACGCTCTCAAGACTGAAATTCCTAACAACATTGCAAGAGGTGTGGGGAGAACTGCAGCCCCTGGGCAAAAGCGACCAGTAACACAAAGAAATAAGATGTAAATTCCATCCCTTCCCAAAACACAGTTACCCTTCTCTATTCCTATTAGGTTTTAACAAGAATATTATTTAAAGCTAAGCACCTAAAACATATTTAAAGGTAAATAATGATGATCTGAATGCATTAATGAAACACATGGTAACTGTTAAATGGAGTTCATTAAAAAAAGTCCACTTACATCACAGCATCTCAGTAGCTCATCAAAGCAGCATAAATCAGATTTATTTTCTCTTTTAATTTCAAATCCATTTGAATTTACCTTTTAACACCTATAGACATCACTTATTACATAAACATAAGCAGTCTCTGAAAGACACAACTGGAATTTGTTTTTTGTCCCTAGGAGTCCAAAAATTGAAAGAACAAACTAGAGGTGAAAAGTAATTTCAACAATGAATTGCAAGGAAACATGTAAATTACCTGTCAAAAAGAGTAATATCAAAGGTTCTGAAGGCAGATTAAGTCTGCTGATGACAATATGAATGGAAAGCACTTTATTTTAAACACCAGGAAACTCACCCAGAACAGTAATTAAAAATTACTTCAGATTTGCTTCATACAAATTAAAATGGGAGACAGTCGAAGCCTGTGATGACATTTGGCACTGCAAGCAGAAGAAACTTTATATATACAGCACAAAACCTTTCCAATAAGCCAAGTTATTAGCACCTAATTGGTCAGAACGCCAAAAATCAAGAAACTCAACCTGATAAAAACCAGCCAAACTTCTCTGCATTGAGTATTTTTTTTCCAACGGAAATCAATGTCATAAACCACGTATCTGACTTCATTTGGACTATTGCTCAGGAAGCCCTACTGAAAATAGAAAGCCCTACTGAAATAGAAATTGTCAGCCTCACTTGATTCCCTCGTTCCAAAAAAAAACCATTGCTCTTGCAGCTCATGAGTGTTACAAAGTCTTTGGAAACTAAAAATGATAACACGATCTATTCCTGCTCTCCTCTGCAGAATGATCCATCAATTTTAATTTTTTTTCCATTTTAGTTTATTTTCTAAAATCACACTCCATGATCCTACTGAAGAAAAATTTCCTATTTAAGGAAAATTACAAAGTTTCTGTTACCTTAACTTTCCAGTAAGAAGCTTAATTCCACACTGGGCTGTAACATTAAGAACACATGCATCCATATATATGCACAACATATGTGCATATACATACTGTGTATCTGCCATTTCACAGCACCGACAACTGTAGGGGGCAATCTCTGTAGATTTCCAAGGCATATTCCTCTTGTCTTCACCTCTGAACATGACTCTTCATGCCATGGCTGGTAAGCTATCCTTCCCAGCTGACTGGGCGACGTGCCTGTTCTGCTTTTCAGGACATACATGCAGCCAGGGTCAGCCACCACGTCGGGTCCATCCCCCCAAGGTCTCAGCATGGCCGGCCCATTGATGACAACCCTGTAGTCCACTTCTTCAAGAACATTGTAAGTCTCCCCTCTTCTTTTGCACCAAAATTAAATATTTTCTTTAGAATCCATCAGTAAACTAATACTCCCCAGTCATTACCCTTTATTTTGAGCCTCAAATTGTATTGTGCCTTTTGAGCTCATTAAGCTGTTCAAATACAAAAATAATTTTTACCTAGAAGACAAACAATACTGAAATGCTACCAAAAAAGCGTGCAAACATCCATTAGCATAGTCAAATGCTAACCATGTCAGTTATACAGCTTCACTATAGACAGGTTTTGTCCTTGTGTCTTTAACACTTGCAGTATTCAGGAATTATTACTGTTTCAAGACAGACATAAATCCAGTGTATTACAGGCAAGCCTAAAACAGCAGAGGAGCTTCTCAATACAATTATTGTTTTTAGCACATGGATAATGTGCAAAAGGCCTGATAATTTCTGACATTTATTTTGGCTTTGTTTGACAACTGTTTTGTGTTGGTTTTTAGGTCTCACCCCGTACACCTCCCCCAATGCAAGCAAAGGTAAGCAGTTTCAGGGACTCAAGGCGTTTACTGGCTAATTCACACTAATTCAACTGCAAGCCTGATTCACTGTCCCTAATGGCACTAAGTCAAATCTACAGGTATCACTGGGAACAATTTAAAGCAAGAGCCTAAGACACAGAAGCCATGGTTCTCTTCCTCATGCACTTCCTGACTTCATGCATGACTAACTGAAGCCAATTGCAGGGATTTTTATATTCAATTTATGGTGTGATCGCTTTTTGTAACGAACTAACAATAAGTAATTCTTTCAAACAAGCCTCACCAACCAGGAGCTGTCCTTCTGTTTACTCAACTCAGCTGGCTTTTGAAGTATGTAACGCTGAGAAACCATGGCTAGTGAAGTCAGTTCTAGTAATTACAATAAACAATTTTGCCTTGTTTTCTTCATGAAATGACTGTACAGACTGTTGTTCTCAACTCCTGCCTGCCTCATTATCTGGCCATTATTTCATAATCTTAGCTGTCTTTTCATCTTCTGCTGTGTATGGCAGACCCAGATGCTGTGTTCCATAGTGATCATCATGTCATTGTTTCTATTTCTTGCATGTGCAGGGAAGAGGATTATCCCTCACCAGATTTAGCTGGGTAGGTGACAAATGTGCTTTTGGTAACAGCCGTTTTATTTACCAGGCCAAAGCATATCTTGCTCCATTGCCTCAAGCTGCTGCAGCAACGTGATAATTTTGTTTTGTCTCAAGTTTGCTATTTTGCTTTTTCTGTTCCACTTTCCTTCCTCCTTCCACAGCACTTTAGGAGGGTAATTGTGTTGCTTGCTCTTATACTGCAATTTGACAGCCCTTGCAGCAATAACTTCTTTTGCTTCAGCACAAAGAGAGCAAAATCCACTGCATGGCACAGCTCTATTCCCTTAAAGGCTCCTGGAAGACCTATCTGCTGCATTTTTCTTCTCCTGAGATGGACAAAAATGGGAGGGAGGGCTGGGCCAAGACTGGTGCTTATTCCACTTTTGCAACTGCTTTTACACAGTGAAGTCTGCAAAACTAATGCTCACTAACCTCAGTATTTTGTCCCACCTTTCCTGTCAGTTAGAAGTGATCTGCCTAAGCAATTCCTAGACAAGTTCTTCCCACAGTTCTCTCACAACTAATTAAATTCAACTTCTCTACCACAGGTTTGATTTTATATGAGATGGCATGTAAATTACTGGCATTTAAGACAAAATATCAAAGCCTTCAAACTATTAAACATTTCTTTCACTATCAGAACACCACATATTAGCTGATGTGTTTGACATCTTAAAACTCGTGAAATTAAAACATTTTAAGTTTTATCACACAGGCTAATGCTCTGAGTATTTAATTTTTGAATATTAATTCATTTTTTACAGATTGATGCTTCCCTTAGATTTGAATCTATTCAGAAAATTTCCTAACATTTTCCTTCAGCCTTGTTTATTACATACAAAATTATTTTATTGCAACAGCCTCCAAATTCCTCATTTGAGTATTACATTTCAGTGATCACAAATAAAGACTACATCGTGCATATGATAATTTGAATGTGATAATTTGCAATATACATGAAAATCTTTCTTTGCAGGGTGGTGAAACACACAAGCCAGGATATGGAAGCGGAAAATTCTATGAGCATAAATCTGCTCACAAGGGACACAAGGGATCCTATCATGAGGGCCAGGGCACTCTTTCCAGAATCTTTAAACTGGTAAAGTATAATTGAACTTTAAATACAAAAAAATTGAACTGGGAATAAGAGAAGCCAAACCTCTCCAGAACCTGCCATGTTTGAAACAACCATATTTCCTTAAAGCTTCTGACAGAATTAGATTTGATTGGATAAACTAGAAGGTTATTTAGTGGCTTAGGGACTACTTACATGATAGGAAACAAAGGTAAAAGTACACAGTTAGTGGCCATCAGGAAAGAAGGTAAGTCCACAATGTCCCACCGAGACCTGTACCAGGAACAGTGTTGTTACTGAATGCAAAAATGATCTGGAATACAGAAGACAAATGAAATGACACAGCTCGTTGCTGCTAAAATGTTTAGGATAGTGAAAATAAAAGAGAACCGATAAACTGCAAAAGGGCAGTACAGGGCAGTGCTGGACACACATTTGGATGCAGTAAGGACTCCAGCAGTCCCAGTTTATTCCCACCCTAGGTGGGAGAACTCCTACAATATGTCAATATCACAAGTTACAAAACCACAAAGTGAGGCAAATTAGAAAACTGTCTACTAAAAATAAACATTTGGTCAGATTATCTTTAGTTTGGTTCAGTTCCCCATTTAAAGGCACAGCACAGCCACAGCAACACAGGCAATAAATGAAAACAGAACAGGAAAAAAAGGTCAGTGGTGAGGATTTTTCACATTCTCTGTCAGGAAACAGACACATGAAAAGCACACTATATCCACTGGCAGATACATTAAGAAAGACTGTATTTTCCCTCAAAGGCAATGATGGCAGTGAATTCACTCATAACAAATCACCCAGTGCACTATTTGCACATGAAGATGCCATCAGTAGTCATCTCAATTTCAAGTCAGGTCTGAAATCCTTAGCAGAGCTGGTAATTTCAGACTCTTCCTCTCTGCAACAGGAGATGTAACAGTGCCTTCATTTGCAGAAAAACATTGCATTTTTTTTCTCTTAAACAGCTTAGGTTTTATATCTCCCATTATACAGTTGTTTTCCAAGTATATGCAGCACCAAATGACAGCAGAAAAACTTGGTATTCTTATGTTGCAATTTAAGAAAAGGAATGATCTCTTCAGAGGCCCAGGTAAAAATCAAACACATTTTAAGCCTTATTTTCACATCGTTTTAGTGGAGTTCAGGTACATCAACTATTCCATGGCTATATACTGACATTATTGGTAAATTTCCATTTTTTCAACATCAGAAATTACGCATTAATGATGTCTTGTTAAATTTAACATTCTTTTTTTTGCATACTTATCACAGCTATTTTAGCTTATATATATATATATATATGAGAGATACATACACCAGCTTTACTTTTTAGATAACCTTTTCCCAGCCATTTTAATTTCTGGAACATTGATACTAGTTTGATTCAGATGTATTTGACTTAGACCCATTGTTTACAGCAGGAGGCATTAATTACTCTTTTTTAATACAGTTTTACAGCCTTGTAATACAAAAAAGTTATCCATTCTTTAAGATATCTTTGAAAGAAAAAAAGCCAATTACCTAATGAATTAGACTGAATTTTCCTCTAACACTTCTGTAAAATTAAGGAGACAGCACTGAAAGATGAGAAGAATATAAATGAAGAAAATGAAGTCTCAAAGTACACTTTTTTTTTCAAGTCAACAGTTCAGTCATCACCTGATTACAGTAAGAATTACCCCACCATCTCACATTTGTCATCTTAAGTGCCTTTTTCAAGATTTGCTGATAGAAGAGTTGCTACAGCTAAGGGACAAGATACCAAGTTAGCCTGATCTCAAATTCCAAAAAATAAAATGTCAGAATTTCACCTTGGATCATCTTTGCTATAAAACTGCTTTTCTCAAGTGCATACTTATGAATTGTCACAGTCTTTTTCCTCATAGTTTGACACTTTCTTATTATTTATAAGAATAGGGCAGGTTTCAGCCCTTTTATCTTTTCTTAGCTTTCTCCTGTATCTGCATCTAAGCTTTCCATACAAGCCTCATGGTTGACATAAAACTGAGAATTTACTGCAGAATGAAACTATTAAATTTCAGTTCCTTCAGATGTGAAACTATTACATCTTATATGCAAAGTTTCGATATTTTGTTTTGTTATTTAAAGTATATATACAGTATATATACAGGGTTCATGAAACTGAAATTTTCCGTGCTATTCAAGGAAATAAATTGTTTTCATTAGGAACATCTGAATAAGAACATGCACTTAGAAGTAATTAATGAGAGGCTGTTTAGTCCTCTGTGGAAGATCTAATGACAGTAAGTTAATCCTATGTAAAAATCAATGAAAATCAATCTTCTTTTTGAAGTGTAAATCCCAGTAAATATTTAGTGGTATAGTAGAGGCAACTGCAGGCTATTTTCATTAGATAGTATTTAATATTTTGTCATACTTACAACAGATTGATGTTCTTCAATGCACAGCCCCAAATATATATTAATTTCTACTTAATGCAACTCTGTTCTTCCCTCCACAGGGAGGCTCTGGGTCCCGACCTGGATCGCGGTCTGGTTCCCCCATTGCTAGGCGCTGAAGCTCCCAGATACCATCCAAGGATCACGTACTCTGCTTCATAGTATAACTGCCTTAAAATTAGTAACAGCTGCCACAATTACCTAGATAGATGCAATCCATTACTTAATGCCAATTAGGTTCTGCATGCAGTAGATGATACAACTTCTATTGGCAATCCCTGAGCAACAGTTGAATGAAAGGAACACAAAAAGTAGCTTTGCTAGATGTTTTCCTTATTTTATGTAAAGTAACAAGATCTCTGACTTTACCCAATCTTCTTCAGGATGCCCTAACTGTATGCTGGACTCCTTTATTTCTCCCAAGCACCTAATTTAAGCTCAACTCCTCTGATTTCGTTTTAGTGAACAACAGAATTACAAATAAAGAGCTATAATGTCTTGGATACTGAGCACTGCTGTTAATGAATTTTTGAGACACTGCTGTTAAAGCAAAAAAAACCCCAACATGTGCAGAAGTTGTGAGGACTGTTTATCCAAATTTTCTTTTTTTTTTTTTTTTTTTGTTTTGTTTTGTTTAATCATCCTTCTCTCACTCACA